CTCCCAAGGAGCGCCTAATTTTACGTCGCGGCACGACGCCTTGGTATAGTTCACTCTTCATAGATTGGATCGACGAGATCCATGCATTCAACGCTTTCTTTAGAAAAGCTTTTCAAGGAACGGTTTGAGTTGATGGCCGTTAACCTTGAGGATTTTGCCGGGTGTCGAGGCTCTTTATTTCAACTGCTCCGTGGGGGGTAGACTTTGACTACCTCGAATGGTCCTTCCCATCGTGACCTCAGTTTACCGGGGAAAAGACGAAGGCGTGAGAGAAAGAGAAGGACTTTGTCTCCGATTTGGAAATCCTTTCTCATTATCATTTTATCATGCCATACCTTTGTCTTTTCCTTGTAGATGGCGGCGTTCTCATAGGACTCAAGTCGAAGTTCCTCTAGTTCTTGGAGTTGAAGCTTCCTTTGCACCCCCGCTTGCTCCATGTCAAGATTGAATGTTTTTACCGCCCAATAAGACTTATGTTCGAGTTTCGACACGGGAGATGGCAGGCCTTCCGAACACTAGTCTATAGGGAGACATTCCAATTGGTGTTTTGAAAGCAGTTCTATATGCCCACAAGGCATCATCTATCCGAAGACTCCAATCTTTACGGTTAGGGTTCACCGTCTTTTGGAGTATAGACTTCAACTCCCTGTTCGAGACCTCGGCTTGGCCGTTTGTTTGTGGGTGATAGGCGGTGGAGAGCTTGTGGGTGACACCATATTTTTTCAACAGGGTACTCACAGTTTTGTTGTGGAAGTGAGTGCCCCTATCACTTATCAAAATTCGTGGTACTCCAAACCTTGAGAAGATTCGGGTCTTGAGAAAGTCCGTCACCACTTTAGCGTCATCGGTCTTGGTGGCTTTTGCTTCCACCCATTTCAAAACATAGTCCACCGCCAAAAGAATGTATAGATTCCCATGGGAGTTAGGAAAAGGTCCCATGAAATCTATTCCCCCATACATCAAAGATTTCTACGTAGAGCATTGGTACTTGTGGCATCTCATGCTTTCGAGATATGTTGCCCATGCGTTGGCAATTGTCGCAAGATTGACAAAAGATGTGGGCATCCCGAAATAAGCTCGGCCACCAAAAACCGCATTCAAGTACCTTCATGGCCGTTCGTTTTGCCTCCAAAGTGTCCACCGCATGCATGGGAGTGGCAAAAGGCAAGGATGGATGCAATCCTTGTTTCAGGGATGCACCTTCTAATGACTTGATCTTTGCAATGTTTCCACAAGTATGGTTCATCCCATACGTATTGTTTTGCATCGTGTTGGAGCTTCTCTTTTTGAGCTTTAGAGAAGCTTGGTGGAAACCTGTTTAGAACAAGGAAATTAACAATGTGAGCGTACCAAGGGGCGAATTTCCTTGAGAGAGAAAAGAGTCTCATCGGGAAATCCCCTCGGATATCTTCTTTGATATGATTATTTCCTTCATCAAGGACTAAACGGTTCAAGTGATCGGCCACCAAGTTCTCCATGCCCTTCTTGTCCTTGATCTCAACATCAAATTCGCTCAAGAGTAATATCCACCGAATCAACCTTGGTTTGGCCTCCTTTTTTGTCATCAAAAACCTAAGAGCCGCGTGATCGGTGTAAATGATCACTTTGGTTCCAAGTAAGTAGGGGTTGGGGTCGGGGTAACTATAGGGTAATGGCAAGGTGTAAATTCGGAAACTGAAAAAGTTTTTTGTGCCTCTTAATTAATACATGGGGGTGGTATGCTTAGTGAGCGCCACTTTAAGCACCTCTTTCAGTTAGTAAGTGACTTTTTAAGCACCGTGTTTACGAAGTAAATACCTCCTCAATTGCCCGGGGTCTTCTTCAGCCGAACTCCACATCGTTCCTTCTTCAGGCGGAAGCTCGCGACAATTCAACCGCCAGAGTGAAACACCATCTGCCTCACCTGTTCGCCTTCATCAAAAATTCTTTTCGCTATTGAAGGAGACTTTCCGAAGACAGAATGGTTTAGCGACCCCATCAAATTAGGCTTTTCAAAATCACGCTGGAGAGAGAACATCTGAGAAAATGGGAAAGAGATAACATCTTTGATGGAAGATAGCTTCTTCTTCCGGACGCTACGAGGTTTAGCAACATCGTCTCATTCAATTTCAAATCAAATACCAAAATCCCCCCCTCCCCCCCCAAAAAAAAACACCACTATAAGATGCTTTGGTGCTTTGGTGATAGAGACAAACAATTCTAGAATCGTTAGGTAACAACGCAATCAAGAAAAGTGAAGGTTTAATTTACACAATATTCACACTAGAAATGTACACGGAACAGTTCTAGCAAATTCGAGAGGTGCTAGGGCTCTCCCAGACTTAATTCTAACGGTCCAAACAGTCTCCTTCCTCTTCTCCCTTTCCCTACTCTCATACTTGGTATTACTTCTATTTTTTAAGGGCTCACCCATTTTTTGAGTTCATTTGCAAGTTACTTGCCATCAACAAATGCCTAGTTGGGCTTCCGAATGTTTGCCACGTCAACAAAATTATTGTTGATTGGGCTGCCACATGTGGGCCACGTCAATGGGTGACTAACTCTGCTGACATGACAAGTAACCTGCAAATGGACTCAATTGAATATATTATTTCCAAATGGACTCAATTGAATATATGATTGCTATACTTAATTGAGAGGTAGTTTAGAAAAATTAAATCATAAACTAAAGAATCAGTTTGTACTAACAACACAACATAACATTACCGTCTATCATGAATAGATACATTGGTTAAAAGTACGGGGTGGCCTAGATTCTAATAACACAACATGATTTTGATCTTCACTGGAAATAGATTGATAAAGCTCTCTGGAGGTCTTGCTATTCATTTTTTTAATCCTTAATACGGATTATTATACTACGGAGTATAATTTATGAACCAATTTTTTTTACCTCTGCTCAAAGAGTAATTCACAATGATTTGAAGCTTTAGTTTTCTTTATGGTGGTGGTTTTTTTGTTCTTTATATTCATAGAACTTTAATTAGAGAAACATCAAATGATCGTTTGTTCAATTTTTTATGAGTTATTCAAGGATTCAGCTAACTTTCTATCAGAATGTTAACATCTCAAAATAGGAATAGTCATTACACCAAATTCACATCAACCTAAATATGGTAAAAATTGACTTCAAAGCTAAAGCGTCTAGAAGTTTGTAAAAAACTTCTCAAGTAAAATCTTTTGAACTATTAGTGGATTAGCCTATGTCAGTTTTCTTCGCTTTCATATTGACATTAAAATCTTGAATGATATAAGAAGATGGTGAATAAGGAATAAACCTCCTCTTGATATGGATATTTTATATTCCATTTTGTTTTTACTTAACTTCATCTTTTAGTTTTTTCTAATCATTGAGGGTCATTGTTTCATTTCTAAGAATAAATAGCTTTGCCATATTATATGAACACTTATATAACTTATATTTAATTTTTTCAGGTTTCTTAGTCTACTCACATAATTACTATGTCAACAAATGGCTTATATACACACACACTCAAAGTATGTGTTAGTCTGTCTATTTGTTTGTATTTTATAGTGTATACAATCCAATCCAATCCAATTTTATCCAGTTTTGGTCCAATCCAGTCTACATCTCAAATTACAACTGCATCCACCCATCACATACATCATATAATTAAGCCTATCTTTCATGTTTTCCTCAGCCAGTTATTGTCCTGAAAACCTAACACTCATGAAGAACTTTAATTAATATGATTATTGTGAAAATTACAAAAGAACAAAGAAGACTTCATTGAGAGGTCAAAGTATGCTAATTAATCAAAACCTGACATGCTTTTTTTCCTACTGAGATGGCTATAAGAACATTATAACTTTAACCTCTATACTATTTCCTTTTATGTGAAAATTAATCCTTTCAAGAACCAAGAGGAGGGTGATATTGTGATAATGTGCTCTGAAGCTACCTGATAGTAGCGCACTAATGCATAAGAATAATGTAGACAGAAGATTAGATTTTTGCATTGAGTTTTTGAACCAAGAGACATCCTTCACATGCCTGATAGTGAACAATAGAAGACATATTTGTGAAGTGAAAATTGAAACAAAAAGCCATCTATGTGAAAGTTGACAAAGATAGCCTAATTCCTACTTAAATATGATAAAAAACTTTTCAATAAATTGATTCATTATATTTAGTGATTTATAATAAATATAACTATTAGTAACTAGACCTTTGACACCTAAGAATATAATCGGACGACCTCAGATGTTTCCTTTTGTCAACTAAGATTCGTTTTTTAGATGTAGCATATAGAGTACTTTAGTTACATGCACAAAATGCCGCAGAACACGTGACAATTTTTAGGTCAATATTCATTCATATGATTAACAAAAACTCCAAATTCTTTGTTATCTTTACTGCAACTCATTGATACTGTCGTGCAATTCAATTCATTCACTATGGGTGCCACACATTGACCCTGACCATTGGGATTAATGGCAGTTTGAAACATACATCACTTTATATGTAATAATTTTAAGTTTGTTGCTTACTTGCTTTTGCCTCTCAACTTAGTTATGAAGCTGTTTAATCTCAATTTATAAAATGCAAGTCTTTATGTCAAGATTCTAAACCTTGAATCTCTTTATACCCCCCTACTTTTTTTTTACTCTAAAAAGCACTAAATAACATAGGGATTTTTTCAGAAATAGACTAAAAAGTGAAAGAAATATCAGTTGCATCACCTTCCAAACTTTTTTCCAAAAGTAAGCCAGATAACTTTTTCTTTTCACTAATAGACATTACGGAGTATAACACATCTGGCCCACTTGCTCGAGTCCCTGTCCAAGTGTCCAGTACGCTCATTAGAGCATCTTTAACGGAGAAGTAGATTGCACCCCATTAAAAATGGACACATCACATGTATAGAAAGCTGGTGAAGGTGATATGGACACACACATTTAAAATATTATATTCGTGCTCCAATGGGAATGTGAGTTTAAGAGTTAATTAGTTTCCTATTCATGCCCAAAGTGCATGACAAAAAAATAACTTACCCAACTTATACTCCGTATTCAATATTAGGCTTAAATTAAATGTTTTGCTGACTCGGGCAGTCTATCACGCTTTCCAGAAGTAGAAGGCAAGGCAGATGGAATCGATTTTTTCCCATTCCATGTCACCACAGTACGGATGATCCATATTTCCATTGGAGAGATACTTTTACCCTCAATTTGATGTGGCAATGCATTTATAGGCAATTAGTAGCTACGCCACTCTGGAAGTCACTTATATTCCCTTGAAGTGTAGGTAGGTTGTCAAAAGGGAACTCTGCAACGTTAATAAGCATAGAAAAAATGGCACCGATATAAGTACCGGACTTTTGATTTCCAAAAGTATAAACAATTTTACTTTTCCCAAAAATATGACCCCACACCATACGACTCTTTTCTTACAAGAGTGACCCGAGGCCCCTTTTCTTACTTTGCGCTGGATCGATGGAACACACGAACAGAAGACCTCCAGCCGTTGCCATAGCTCTCCGCAGATGGATCCTCACGAATCTCCGACGAATCTCGCCGCCACCATCGCCTCCAACGAATCTCGCCGCCACCATCGCTCTCCGCAGATGGATCCTCATTTAGCCATGCCATTCACGCCATATCACTAGAGGAGTGCTGCCATCGCCAATCCAGGGCTGAAGGAGTGCCGCCATCGCCGCTTAAGGGGTCCGCTGTCTCCAATTCAGCCCTCGCCAGTCTCTGTCACCGCTTCAGGGGTCCGCTGTCTCCGATTCAGCCCTCGCCAGTCTCTGTCGCCGCTTCAGATCTCGCCGGTCTTCATCGCCGCCTCACCAGTCATCGACCTCCTGTGGTTCAAATCTGGTTCAGATCCGGCGACGATTTTGTGCTGCTGGCCGGCGAAGAGGGTAAAAACCGAGCAGATCGAGTTATTAAGAGTGACTAGGGTCCGCTGGTGGGGATGGGGGTGGTTGCTGTGCACTGGTGGGGTAGGGTGAGATGTTGTAGGTTGGTGGGGCAGTGGAAGGGGGCTAGGGATCGGGAGTGGGGCTGGGGAGCTGGTGTGTATGACTGGGGGCAGATCAAGGAAAATGGCGGTGGGGTAGGGACTCGGTGCTGTGGTCACCGGCGGGGAGGTCGTGAGGTCGTGGTAACTGATTGGAGGGCTGAGGGTGGAGTAATTTTGTCACTATGGGTGTCTGCGGCGGTTGCCGGTGGATAGTCACCGTGGCCGGAGTCACTTTAACGCCGCAGAGTCACTATTGATGGCGACAGAAGTCACTGCCCGGTGGGCACGCAGTCACCCTAACTGGAGTCACTGTGGCCGGTGATCGGTGGTCACTATGGCTGGTAGGCGGGACTGCGGGAGTCACCATGGCCGGAGCAAGTCACAGAACGGCGGTCACTATGGCCGGAGCAAGTCACTGGGCGGCAGTCACTATGGCCGGAGCAAGTCACTGGGCGGCAGTCACTATGGTCAGAGCAAGTCACTGGGCGATGGTTCGGCAAGACTGCCGGCGGTGCCGGTGATAACCGTGGCGGTTGAGAAACTCTTTCCTATTTTTAATTTTTTTTTCAGTATTAAAGTTCATTTATGGCCTTTTAGTTATACATGGTTTAAAATGGATGGGTGTGCAACGGTTGGAGTATAACAGACAAGTCATATTTTTGAACTTTTGAAACTTAACTCACTTTATTGGGAATCCCTTAATTAATAGTAATATTTGAATAAAAAGGCCATAAGCATATTCCTAAATTTATTCAATTTTGAATCATGTAAATTAGAAAATAAATCTTTTTCAAAATAAAAAAAGTAAAAAAAAAACAGAAAAAATTATAAATCGGAAATAATTTAAATCTAGAAAATTATGAACATACAAACTAACATAAAATGAATTTCTCTTAAAACATTGAAATAGTAGTATACAAATAAGTAAAACTTTTTAAAATACTGTAAGGGCTATTAGTACATAATTAATTATATTATTTTATATATCATTTGTATACTTATTATCGGATACATGATGTACAGATCAATTATAATACTCCCTCCGTCCCTTATAACTTTGCCAACTTTCCTTTTTTGGATGTCCCATTAACTTTGCCACTTTCCCATTTAAGTAAAGAATTTGTGGTTCCAGTTAATTCTCTCTCCTCTGCACAAACCTCAACCACACAGTTTTTACTTTATTAATCCCCGTGCCGGTCAAACTTGGCAAAATTATTAGGGACGGAGGGAGTAACTATTATACGTCCATAGGTTTAACATCTATAGTTGAGAGATCTTATCACTTTGCTATCTCTCTCTAGCTTGATACATGTATGTATATACGGATGTAATCTGCAACTCAATCATCAATCAATACATTCTTATTCTCTCATATCTCTTATATGGTATCAACAGCCAAACTCTAACGAGATATCAAGTTTTTTTTCCGGTAACCACCATGGCTATCATCATCACTCTTGATACACAATTGATTCCGCTCACAGCCACAACGAATTTCCCCATCAAACTTAGTACTTCCAATTTCACTGTTTGAAAGTGGTATCGTCAAGATCGCACCATTCTCAGTGCGTAGCTCGGTAGCTGTTCTGAGAGCATTCATACTATCATCTCTTCTGCTGCCCCAGCCAAGCATGCCTGGGATAAACTTGCACTCACTTATGCAAGTGCATCTCGTGGCCGCATAATATCTCTCAAGACCATCTTTCGCGCACTCGTAAGGGCTCCCATTCCATTACGGAATATCTGGCTGAAATGTACGCCCTTTCTGAAGCATTGGATTTAGCGCAAAGTCCCATTTCTGAGGAAGATATGGTAATCACCATCCTTAATGGACTTGGTCCAGATTACAAAGAGCTTACTTTGGCTATTAGGGTCCGTCTGACGGCCCTAATAAAGAAAAATTTATTACAGAGAGCTTCATGAAATTTAATTAGAGCATGAAACTCGTACTAATGAAGAGGCAAACAACACTGTTACTTCTGCCCACAACACATGTCACTCAAGGACCCACTCGTTACCCTTATGGAAATTCTTATCGTGATGATCGCATGAACTCATCTGGCACTGAACGTCGTGGACAACCCACTCGTCGTGGTCGTGGTGCATATCCCATTTTGTGAGATTCCTGGACACGTGGTCAAGCAATGTAGAAAGTTGCAGTGCTTCCTTCATCAAAATCAGATTGCCTACCCCTCTGAAAACCTGTCTCCAATGGCTCACATGACTGAGGCCACCACCAATCCTACTAGCCAACCTTGGCTATTACCTGAAGAGTTTTGCAGCCTTCTTCGTCTGGCAAACCTGGAACCTTGGCTTCAGTTCTTCTTCGGACGGAATACGGAAAACAAAACGAAGTTAACCTTCTTTCAATTAGTCATCCGACCACAGCTTCCAATTAAATTGCTTCCCACGCAGAGTAGTAGCAAGGGCATGAGGCAGCCGGCTATGGCGCTTCTTCGCAGATGGCGCGCTTCTCAGACGACTATGTGCCTTCGCAGACGGCGCGCTTCGACGACATCAGAGACGGGCTCATACATATGATAGGTTTAATTTGGAAAACAACCATTCTTGGTGTACACGTTTTTATACCCATCAGTACACGCATGTGTCTGTGAGAGTTTTTTTTTGTCTGTGAAGCGCGGTCCACAGACATAAGTTGGCTTGTTTTGTCTGTGGAAAATTTCACAGACAAAACAAACCAGCTTTTGTCTGTGGACCGCGCTTCACAGACAAAAAAAAACTCTCACAGACACATGCGTGTACTGATGGGTACAAAAACGTGTACAAAAGGAATTTTTCTTTGGAAAAGGAGGGTTAGCGGGCTTGTAGATTTGGAGTAAGGGTGAGGGTTTCGTTTCTAAGAATAAGTTAGTGGGCGCGATAATATTTTGGAGAGGCGCCAATAACGAAATTTGGAACTTCGGCAGTTCGGCATATTGGGAAAGGATTTAAATCCTGTCTAAAAAATAAAACCGCATTGGATATATTTGCGATCATATAAAAAAGTAGTCCCTAAAAATATAAAGAGGACAATTTGTGTCCCGCCAACCTGACGGGAACGGCCATCCGGCCGAGAGTATTTCGGTCACTTTAAAATCGAATTTTTTGATAAATTTTTTTAGCGTATTTTTCATCAAGTCTAGTTTATCCTTATCAAATTTCAGCTAACAATTCAATCGGGAAGACAGTCGAATAATTTTTTGAAAAAGACCGCGTTGTTTATATATGCATAAAGCGCAATTATCTTCAAAAAAAAATTTGACTGCCTTCCTTATTGAATTTTTAGCTGAAATTTGGTATAGATAAATTAGACTTGATCAAGAACATGCTCAAAAAAATTTATCAAAAAATTCCATCGGGAAGTGTCCGAAATACCCTCGGCCGGACGGCGGTTCCCGTCAGGCCGGCTGGACAGGAACGGGACTCAAATATAAATATTGCGACTATATTTGAAGTCGGTCGCAAATTGTTTGTCTCAAAAGATCAATTATCTTGTAGTGACAGTAATTTTGTTAATGTTAAATATATACTCCCTCCGTCCCATTTATATTGTCCCGGAAGAGGGTGGCACGGTTATTAAGAAAAGTGGGTTTGTGTGGTTGATATTAATTGATAAAGTAAGAATAAAGTAAGAATGATTTAGAGCCACACAAATTTTGCCAAATATGGTATGGGACAATATAAGTGGGACTTCCCGAAAAGGTAAAACGGGACAAAATAAATGGGACGGAGGGAGTACATTTTAGAGGTGCAAATGTGTTATTGCCTCAATAAACTTTCAGAAGCAAATGTTTTAGAAACATTTATGCTTTTGTGTTAAACTTTTGGAGGCAGACACAACAACGTTGCTCCCAAATGATAGTTTTTAGAGGCAAGTACAATATGGTTGCTCCCAAATGATGGTTTTTAGAGGCAAGTACAATATGGTTGCTCCCAAATGATAGTTTTTAGAGGCAAACACAATATGATTGTCTCAAATAATAATTTTAGAAACAACCATAACTTGTGTGATGCTAAAACATACTTTTAGAGACAACAGAATATAACTTGCCTCGAAGAGTTGCCTCTATAAATAAATTTTTTTGTAGTGTATCTGTCAATTAAAAAAATAGTTTGTCCTAATAAAAATCATAACAAAAGCACATAACCTATGTAAGGTACTCCGTATAAAACTAAAAAGCACTCGCATGTCTAATCTAAATGAATATTCAAAGGAAAGATGCCCGGTTACCAATAGAGAAAGGATATCTGTATACTTTTAATATTAAAAAATTAGAGGGTTATGTTCACCCTCAAAATAGGAGGTGAACAAAATTAAACTCCATTGCCCCTCCCAACATTTTTATTTTTTTAATTATTGGCTTGTAATTTATTTTTTTGCCCCCCCCCCCCCCCCCAATTTGTATTTCCTCTAGTAGTATAGTTGTTGGATAATTGATACCCATATTGTATAAACAGGAGAGATTGAACAAGAATAGAGAAGAAGTAATGAAAGTGTATACAATGAATGAATATTGGTTATGGTTTACAAGCCTTACATAAGGGAGTATATATAGGGAAAATCTGGGTCTGGGTCTCCAATATGGGTCTGACAGACCCGGTTACATAAATAGACTGATAGTATAAAAAGCTAATCTAGAACATCTGAATAATAATGTACAATAATAAGAATCCTCTAAACGTGTGTGGGCCGCTGTCCAGACCCAATAGTCGGCAGACCGGGGGGTCGGAGTCCATAAACTCCATCAATAGTAGTTCAAAATATGTTTATAGTTATACTCTGTACTACATTTATAATTTTTCAATACTTCGTTAAAATATCATATGTATAAAAACATTATACGTAGTATATTCTAGAAGTAGTCATTTTGGAAAATATTAATCTATAACAACACTATATTTTTAAGAAGTGATTATTACCCCATAAATAATACTCGGTACTCCGTATGTAAAAATATATTATTAATAATATATTATGGAGTAGTATTGGAGATATCCGTCTTAAAGTATCTAATATAAAAGAATTATAAGAAAAAATTGGGATACTAATTTAATAAACTTTAAGAGGAGTATATTATGTAATAACATTTTGCCCCCCCCCCCCCCCCCCCCCCACCCTCACCTCCTGGCTCCGCCCCTGGCCCGGATATGACACATGCAATGGAGCAACCAGCAACTTTGGGTCGTGGGCATCGTGAACGTATACCATCCGTACGTCTCAGAGATTATGTTACTCACACCATTGTCAACAACAGTCCATTTCACGCCCATGCTGTTTCGTCACCTCCCCCAGGTACGCCGTTCCCTATAACTCACTATGTTACTTGGGATAAATTTTCTCCAAAGCATCGTGCTTACTTGGCAGCTACTTCCTCCGTTCTCTTTTAATTGCAACAGTTAACATTTCACGTTTGCCAACGCACAAGTTTGACCATTTCATGAGGACGGAGGTAGTATTAATTTCGTGAAAGAACGCTACTCATTTCATGAGGCGGTCCGAGATGTTGGATGGCAAAATGCCATGTGTGAGGAGATATTTGCTCTTGAAAATAATTCTACTTGGAGCTTGGTTCCTCTACCTCCTGGAAAACGAGTATTGGGATGTCGCTGGGTTTACAAAGTTAAACACAAATCTGA